TAAGGACCCCAAAGCACTTTACACATTCAGTCATCCACCCATTCACACACACATTCACACACTGGTGATGGCAAGCTACATTGTAGCCACAGCCGCTCTGGGGCGCACTGACAGAGGCGAGGCTGCCGGACACTGGCGCCACCGGTCCCTCTGACCATGTATATCATTACTTTCTGCACATGGCACTGGGTAATCATTTGCATTAATAGTGGTTTGTTTATAATTTATTGATACGATCTTGCTATTTCTTTTGTAATTTCTGAAGTCTGCACTGAGTACTTGACTTCAGTAATTGTCACAGGCTGGGTCTCTGACCCAGCGCTCTGAACTCATTTTTGTATTTGTCTCATTTTAGATATTTGATTAGTTTGTGTCATTTCCTATTTATCTTTCGTTTAGGCACTTATTATTTATTGTTTTCTTGGTTTCTATGTTTGAGTTCTTGTATCGTTCATCACTTGTTAGGTCTGTTAAGTTTGTTGTCATGTCTAGTTTCAGTGTTTCCTGTTTTATTTTGGAAGGAGTCGTGTGTTCTTGGTTCTTTGTATTTAGCTTCACTGCTCCTGTCATTAGGTTCATGTTAGTCAGCTGTTTCCTCATGTGTCTCCACTTCCCCTGATCACCTCATGTGTGTATTTAAGTCCTCTGTTTTTTGCATGTCATTTGTCGGGTCCTCTGTTAATTTCACCAGGATCACTTTTCTGTTTAAACTTACAACTCCTCGTCTTCATCTGCTTTTGGGTCCTGTTTCCATACACATCGGCGCACCTCGCCGTGGCAGTAATATCATTGAAAAAGATGACATAAATTGTCATATATCAGAATCATTGCCACAAGTGTCCATTTCACGATTCTACTACCACGGTGCCATCCTAAATGACAGCTCGTTACAGGAGTGCGTTTTTATGATGTTCTTCTGTTTATTTATTCATTTATTAGTTTTGCTTTTTTCTTAATCACATATTCAGTTATTCTTATTTCTTAGTAAATTTGTTACTTTATACCAGGGGGGTTGTTAGGGTTTTGAAAAACTGAGCCCTTAGCCCAGGGCCCTGTGCTTCGTACGTCGCTCACTACATCCAAGATCAAATGAAACATCCAAGACCAAACCATCGCGCTAACTGTGAGCGCGCTAATCCGGTTCCCCGAACACACCTGCTGTTGACGATTAGTACAGCTGGACGCAGTAATGTGACATCACTGGGTGTCGTAAAAGGGGCTACGCATCGATAGTAGAAACATTGATCGGCAACCCTCTGATTGGTCGGCGAAAATGTCGATGGAGCGCGCTCGGCTCGGTATTTTTCGGCAGCAGAGCAAGAACTCTTGAGTGAGGGATTTCAGGAGTTTCAGAGTTTAATTAAAACGCAAGGGAACACTGCAAAGGCTGCAAAAGCAAGGAGAGAGGGCTGGCAGAAAGTTGCTGACAAATTAAACTCGTAAGTAATTTAATAAGAACAATAATAATGGAGTGGATTGATATAGCGCTTTTCAAGGCACCCAAAGCGCTTTACAATGCCACTATTCAGTCACTCTCACATTCACACACTGGTGGAGGCAGCTACGGTTGTAGCCACAGCTGCCCTGGGGCAGACTGACAGAAGCCAGGCTGCCATATCGCGCCATCGGCCCCTCTGGCCAACACCAGTAGGCGGTAGGGTAGATTTATTATATTACACTATATTATCCAATATTATATTACATTATATTATAATATGTTATATTATATCCCCTTTCACATTAGAGCCACAACAGGACCCACTAGAACATGGGAACAGGTAAAAGTGAAATATAGGAATATTCTACAGAATGGTAATATTTATCACTTATATTGCTTTTAGTCTCTTGGAAAGAGACCCTGAAATAATCTGTTTGTTTGTTCATAACAGCAACCAAGAAAAGGGCAGAGCAAAAAAGACAGGTGGTGGTCCTGCACCCCCTCGTCAACAAGTTGGTTAAGTAAATAATACCCTCACGGGAAAATCGATATCTCTCTATGAGCACACTGTCGCGCTGAGCTAAAGGATCCTGTCTGTCCCGCAATATACGCTGAATTCTGAAAACTCTCCTTATCAATCTTGCACCTTCCGCAGGACATGGCTGCGACAGGCTTCCCAAATCCACCTTCGCTTTTATAGCCGTGGTCTCTCATCTTGATTACACGAAGTAATTTGCAATTGCTACTCTGAAATATGAATTACATCTGTAATAATCACATACATGTAATAGTATGTTAATAGTACATTTCCCTTTTTTAGGAAATGACCTGTATGTATCTGTGTGAAATCAATAAATGGATCAGGTGCTGCATTGTCTTTAGTTACATTGATGTTATTTATTTATGGTGAAACAGTGGTGGAATATCGCTGTTGCTTTCGTATAAATGACGCGGGCATACCTGCGTGGCCGCGATCTAATCCTGTTTACATAAAGTAAACCTGCTCCCCAGCAGGTTTACGCTTACGGCTCTGTTGCTATGACAGCAAGTCCCGGATGGGCTTCGGGGAACCGAACGATCCTGGATCACGCGAAATCGTCAACAATCTCATCCAGCTAACTCACTTAGCGCGGTACGAAGAACAGGCCCCAGCTTTGAAATGTTTTGGATTTTCCTTTGATAACAACACCTCTTTAAAGTTTTTTTTAAAATTACATTTTATAGTATAATTCATATAACATATCAAACATTATGAACACTAAAGGTTGAATTCTTAGAATGATTCAGAAATAAACGGTAAACAATAAAAAGTTCAATTTGAGTTCTTCTTGTTTGATGCAATAAAAAAAATTAAGCAACAGGAATAAAACTTTTTTTTTAAAAAAACGTTAGAATGTTGATGAAGTATTCATTTGTGAAAGTATTTATCTAGTTAAGTTTTTAAATTTTACCTGCCCTGGTCTCATAACTTCTTTCCTGTTATTTTGGTATCTCGCTGTTCAGCTCCTCTGCTCTCCGCACCTTCTCTTCTCTCCTCTGTCCTGCTTATAAGAAGAATGTAATATAAACCGTATACTAAACAGGTTTTCTTTCAGTGGATGGGAGGAGCTGTTAATGAGGAAATTAAAATAGTAAACAAAAAAATGCCCACCAATCAATAACAAGGCCGGAGCCATCATACCTATTATTTATTTTTTGCTTTGCAGTTCTACATCTATCCTTGTGTAAGAAAAATGTGTTTAGTAGCCATTTTTTTAAAAAAAATAATTCTTGACTTAATTTTATTTTTAGTCTCAGAACGAATAGTGAGACAATACCATTTTGATGTTGCAACAACCACAAGTCCTAATTGAGAAGGGCACAGCTCATCCGTGCAATAACAAACCTATAATAAGCGGAGGCTATCTCTAGTTCTCTTGACTGTATTTCCATAGTTTAATAGCCTACAAAAAAATCTAATGTGTTAATCTGTTGGTTATAAAACTTTTGCAAAGTACTGATTTTATATATATATATATATATATATATATTATTAAATTAATATTAATTATATATATATTAATATTATATATAATATATATATAATATATATAAAAGGATTCCTTTTATTTTTCAATTTGCATAGTGTGTTCAATACTACACTGTAACATAAAGTATACAGCCTTATAAATATCCAGTGAAATAAAAGAAGAGTAAGCAGAGTGTAAGCCAGTTTTGTCATGCAGACAACATCAGCATGTTTTTATTAACAGGTTGATCAAAAAAACCTTAATGATCAATAAAAAGACACAGCTCTCGTGTAAGAGTATGATGCATATTGTTTAAACATGGTTAGAAACATACATACAAAAAAGTGAAAGTAATTTAAAATGAAATGTCATAATGGTATTTCAAATCATGGAAATTGACAGCATGAAAGAAAAAAAAAAGAAACTCCCTGGAGTTTGTTTGATGGTTCTCTGGAGTTATGAAACACACTTCTCAGTCTGGAAATCTGATGGATAAGTCTGGGTTTGGTTGTTGCCAGGAGAATGGTAATTTTCTGACTGCATTGTGCCAAGTGAAAGGAACTGTAATGAATATTTAATCCTCCCAAATTTTTTGAAACAATTTGGGGATGGCCCCTGCCTGTTCCAATATGACTGTGCAAGAATGCACAAAGCACTGTGTCCATAAAAACATGGATGAGCGGGTTTGGTGTTGAAGAACTGGACTGGCCTGCACAGGTTCCTGACCTCAATAGACCATCTTTGCGATGAATTAGAGCCGAGACTGCGAGTCAGGCCTTCTCATCCAACATCGCTGTCTAATCTCACAAGTGGTCTTCTGGAAGAATGGTAAACACATTCCTAAACATCTCAATGAGTTGAAGGGTGGGCTGACATCATCTTAAACACTATACATTAGAATGGGATTTCATTCAAGTTCATATACATGTGAAGGCAGACAAGCAAACACTTTTGGAAATATTGTGTATGTCTGTGCATGAGCGTAAATATGTAAAACAAAAAACAATGATTCATTTCAATATTCATTGTCTGGTGGGGCACTCTTCTTCAGTTCTAGGAATCCCCTCAGTGATGATTACTGTGCTTCCTGGGATGTTTTCATAAATGGCTGGGTCGATCCGATCTAAAGTGGCAGCAGTGTCTGATTTTTGGGAAGCTTTTGAAAAGGTTGATGACATGGAGCGGGTGGACAGAAATGACAAATGGTCTTCTGCCAGTGCACTCTCGAGTACAAAACAAATGGACTGTCGAAATTTCTTCTGGAATTCTTCACACATGAAAACATAAAGGATGGGGTTTAAGCAGCTGTTCAGAAAAGCCAGACTCACAGTCAGAGGACCATACATTCTAACAATCCCCTGGAGCTCTAACTTCAATTCTATGAAATTGAAAATGTGGAAAGGCAACCAACAGATGAAGAATGCAAAAATGATGGAGAAAATGACCCGGCGAGATCTGCGTCTCCTTGTTCTCGGCATGCGCATTGCACGGATACCAATGGACACATAAGAGATCACTATTATCAGGAATGGGATCACAAAGCCCATAACAAAGCGAAAAATGTTGAGAGTCAATTTGTGTTCTTTGATTGTTGCAGAATAACCACAGGAACTTTCCCCTCCGTTCCCCACTGATGCAGTGCGAAAAGTGGCATAAGGAGTGCTGAAGACGCCAGCGATCACCCAGATTCCAGCTGATATAAGCTGAGCTTTGCTGACTGTGCGTTTGTTGTGTGCCCACACCACCACACAGATACACAGACAACGATCCAAACTCATAGCTGTCAGAGTAAAGATGCTGACAAACATGTTGACTACACTCACAAAGGTGTTGAGCTTGCACATGAATGCTCCAAAAGGCCATCGGTGACTCTGAGAGAGAGAAATGATCGAGAAAATAAGGAAGGCCGTGAAGAGGAAGTCAGCTATGGCCAGGTTGAGAAACCAAACCGAGTCGACTGTTTTCTGCATTTTGAATCCCGCCACGTAGATAACAAGGCCATTGCCCAGAGTTCCAGCTATAAATATCACACAGTAGATGACAATGGAGGCTGTTTGTATGTGTGTGAAAGCTGCATCTTGTTCAGGTGACTGAGTTGCATTGAAAGTGATGTTATCTGAAAGCAAAAAAGAAAATGTTTTATTAAACAAATCATGTTTCCACGATATATTATATGAACAGATAAAATAAGAGGATTTCATTACATTTGTTGCCAAATTATACAAATTAAGTCATTTTTAATTAACAAAATACAGCTATGCATTTTCATAGTTGGCTCCAACACATGTTCTATGCAATACTAGCTTCTACTTTTGTGATGCACATACAGAATTCTGTGTGCAAGTTGGCATATGCATTTATCTAACTTTTTTTGTGATTAATAACATAATTAATAACAGGTATGAGTGCTCATTTTGAACAGTTTAACAAGAACTCAAATAACCTTTCACATATTGCTGCTTAAAGAGAAATAATAATATATGTCTAGACTAAATTAACTTACCCGTCCCCATGCTCTTTTTAGCTGAGAGAGTCTGCCGTGGTTGTAAGTTGATCTCTATCAGTTGCTGCTTCTACTTGCTCTCTGTCTTTGATTTCTCCTCCCTCTCAGTTTTTGCAGCTGCAGATGAATCAGTATGCAAATACAGAAATGAGCAGATAACAAAACAGTAATTTCTCAGAACACACTAATGCAGCAACATTTGCCTGAACTGAATGAACATTTTTGTGATGACAAGTCTTAATAGAGTATTATTTTATAGCTAACTATTGTACCCTTCTTGCATATTTTGCTGTAGAGAGTCCCATTTGTGGTTACCTACATTGTGCTTCTGCTACACAAAAAGTCACTTGACTTATCAGATGGACATGAAAGACACACATATGCTAATAGTTTTAGAGATCATTTAAAAATCGTTCATAGATTTACCAATTAACATTATAGTGTATGTTTGGTATGTTGTTAACAAGTGTCAATACAAACAGTAAAATTCAGTTAAAAAAATGATGCTGTTGAGTTCAGTCTTATATTCATTGTCAAGGCTGAGTGGCCGGTGTATGGATTGGACCCTAACGCACACAGTTGTGTGATGTGAAGGCCCTCGGGGCCTTCTTGATGTGAAGGCCCTGAGTAAATGTGGTTATCCCAGCTGGACTTTTGTCAAAGCTGGGAAGGCGCCAAAAGAAAGCTGCTACAGGCCAGTGGACACTCTTTCAAGGATGAGGATGTACTCATCCTGGACAGGGAGGAACGCTGGTTTGACTTATCTAATTACTGTGTCAGAAAAGTAACTTAATTACTAAATAAGTAATTTTACTAAATACTTCTTAAAATCCCTATAAACCTTGAGCGGGCAAACAATAGAAATTAAACTCTTTAAATAATAAATACATTTTTTTTTAAAGACGGAGACTCTACAATACACAGCGGTAGCATCTCTTCCACAATGTAGACTGCAATAATTTTTTTAAGATCACCTTCAGACGCTTTCTGTGCTGCTGAAATAAAATCAGGTTTTGCCTGCTTAGCAGGAGTTGCCGCGGTGTTATCCATGGATGATGAACAAGGATCACTCAGAAGTGTTCGTCTATGCTCTCGTGTCAGGCGCTTCAGTAGATTACTCATGCTATTAACAGCAGCCGATAGTTTTTTCTCCCCAGGACATAGCTTACATATTACTGTAATGTTCTTGTCTGCTTGTTTCAGAAAAGTGAAGAGACGGGAATATTTCCATTTCATAAAACAGCCACTCGCTTCAGCCGAGTCCGACATCTTCTGCTTTAGAATACGACTATGCAGCAAACTGGCGCGAAATGACGTGCAGCTGCACTACAGCGATGTTAAAGCGGCAGAGTTTACTTCTACGTTTAGAAGACAAATTATTGAAATTAAATAATGATATTCAGCGAGTTTAATTATTTTACAATGTAACACAAGTACATTGTAAGTAACTGTAATTAAAATACCTAAAAATGAACAGTAATTAGTTACTCTACTTTTTCAGTGGAAAAGTAATTTAATTACAGTAACTCGTTACTTAGTAACGCATTACACCCAACACTGCTCATGGCCTTTGATCAGTGGGTTTTGGTCAGTGGTTGTTGATCAATGGTCATGAGAATCTGCATAATTAAGATTAAGAAACTGACCTCCCAGCCCATTGTTCCTTCAGTGGGCAGGTTTCAGTCATTATGCAAATATACTGTTTAAAAGATTGGTGAAAACTGCAGCCAGCTGAGACTGAAGAAGACAATGGGATGAGTGACGAAACATTTCTCCCACTGAAAACGCTACGTCCAGATAAACAGAATCAGACTCAGAATCAGACTTCATCAGAATGTTTTTATTCCTTTATTTTATATACAAGTGTAACAAAATCATAATGCTCTATTAAAGTTCAGTGTCTTCTGACATCATTATGAATTCTGATCATAAAGAAAAAACTGGTTGATGAGCAGGAGTATTAAAAGCTTACTTAGAAACATATATAACTTTTCTCAAAGGAAATTTAATGATGGCAATCCAATTTCTATGAACAATATAAAGTTCAAAAAAAAGAAAAAAAAACAACCCCCTCTCCAAAGAAAGAAATAAAAAAAAAAACGCTTCTTCCACAGCATGTCTTCCTGTCTTCCTTCTCTCACCCCAACCGGTCGCAGCAGATGGCCGCCCCTCCCTGAGCCTGGTTCTGCCGGAGGTTTCTTCCTGTTAAAAGGGAGTTTTTCCTTCCCACTGTGCCAAAGTGCTTGCTCATAGGGGGTCATATGATTGTTGGGTTTTTCTCTGTATCTATGAAGCGCCTTGAGGCGACTTTTGTTGTGATTTGGCGCTATATAAATAAAATTTAATTGAATTGAATTAATCCTTTGTTTTAATCAAGAACTCAATAGCTATAACTCCAAGCTGCAGCACAATAACATGGGTTTTCAGTTACTCTGACTCTTTCTTGCTTGTCTAATAATATGACAAGACAAAAACATTTGCTTTGTGTTTCTGTGCATGAATGTACTTTATGTTATAATCTGATGTGAAAGTTTTGGATTAAAAATCAATTAATTCCTTTTTACATTGCCTTTTGTTACACTGGATTTTGTTGCTGTGTGTTGATTTTACTCGGAGACCGGAATCTCCTCAGTGATGATCACGTTGCTTACTGGGATGTTTTCATAAATGGCTGGGTCAATTATTTTTAAAGTTGCAGCAGGATCAAATTTTTGAGACATTTTTGAAATGGTTGATGACGTACAGTGACTGGACACATGGTCCTCTGCCAGAGCACTCTCAAGTACAAAACATATGGACTGCCGAAGCTTCTTCGTGAATTCTTCACACATGAAAACATAGAGGATGGGGTTCAGGCAGCTGTTCAGAAAAGCCAGACTCACAGTCAGAGGACCCATGATTCTAACAATGTTCCTGAGGTCTGGGTTATTCACAGCCTTTAATTCTATAAAGTTAAAAACATGGAAGGGTAACCAGCAGATGAAGAATGCAAAAATGATGGAGAAAATGATTCTGTGAGATCTCCTTCTCCTTGTTCTCTGCATGCGCATTGCACGGATCCCTATGGCCACATAAGAGATGACTATTACCAGGAATGGGATCACAAAGCCCATAACAAAGCGAAAAATGTGGAGACTCCATTTTTGTTCATGTGTCATAGAATAACCACAGTAATATGTCCCATTATCTCCTAACACGGTGCGAAAAGTGGCATAAGGAGTGCTGCAGATCGCAGCAGTCACCCAGATACCAACACATATGAGCTGAGCTTTGCAGACTGTGCGTTTGTTGTGTGCCCACACCACCACCCAGATGGACAGACAACGATCCAAACTTATAGCTGTCAGAGTAAAGATGCTGGCAAACATGTTGACTAAAGTGACAAAGTTGTTGAGCTTGCACACGAATTGTCCAAAAGGCCATTGGTGACTCTGAGAGAGAGAAATGATCGAGAAAATCAGGAAGGCCGTGAAAAGGAAGTCAGCTATGGCCAGGTTGAGAAACCAAATTGAGTTGACTGTTTTCTGCATTTTGAATCCCGCCATGTAGATAACCAGGGCGTTGCCCAGAGTTCCAACTATAAATATCACACAGTAGATGAGAATGGAGGCTGTTTGTATGTGTGTGGAAGCTGCTTCCAGCCCAGATGACTGACCTGTTGCGAAACAGAAAAACATGAAAGCAATGCATCACAGACATTAGTTGAAACTTATAAAAACGCTTCTTTACTTAAGTGTACATGGCTATGTAATTGTTATGGCTGTATGTTATAGTGCTTGATTCTAACACATATTCTGTGCAACACTAGCTTCTAGTATAGTATCCAGAATATGTGACATACATACTTCTTTTATCATAAAAAATCACATAAAATATCAGAAAAACAAGATAAAAAAAAGAAACAAAACCACAAAAAAGGTTTGATTGTGTTAGCAGGTTAAAAACATTATATATATATATATATATACAATTTTCAAGTGCATATAATTCTATATTACAGTGCTTTGGCCTGCCACATGGGCTACAGTAGTTGCTCAAGATAGAGTACCACATTATGTGAAGTACTCACAGAATTCCTTGTGCAATTTCACATATTTATTTCTTAATTTCTTAATTTCTGTTGTGATCAGAACTAATAACAAGCAGGCATACTCATATTAATCATTTTAGCAAGAAATCCTAATGACATTCACTTAATGCAATTTAAAAGAAATGCTCATAGATGTTTAAATTGTCTTACCTGTCCCCATGAGAGAGTCTGTCTTTACTCCAAGTGGATTTTATCTTCTTTTTGCTTGCTGTCTGTCTTTGCTTAACCCTCCCTCTCAGATTATGCAGCTATAAATGAGGCAGTATGCACATGCAGAAAAGAGTTGGGAAAAGAAAACAGGAACACTGTAGAACATGCTAATTCAGCAAAAACGGCTGCCTGCGAGTGCGCTGTTGGAGAAACGGAGCCAGGCAGACAGAGGAGAACTGAAGTTCGACCAGGTACCAAAGCAAATCATTCGTACTGTACAAATAATGTAAATATGACGGTGTATCACAAAGATTGATATCAAACTGATCACTTGACCCATATTACGTTACTTGCTCTTCAAGTGAATCAACAAATGGCGAAATGAAAAGCCGAACAACAACAATGCTGTTTCTTTAGAGAGTCTTAGCTTACATGTGTGTTTATTTCATATTTTCAGTTGTTACCCTCCACGGCTAAATAAATCGGTTTCAGTAATGCACTGATATACAAGAATGGACATAAGGGGCTTCTTTCAAAGAAAAAACTCTGGTAGTATTTTATATATTATGCTTTGTATGTTGTTCAGTATATTTCTATGCAAAACAAGAGGAACTTCAATACACAGCAGTATATTCACAGTTGAAACCAGATATTTACATACACTTTATGGAAAACACAAGAACATTTTTTTTTACTGTACAACATCAATTTAGAGTAAACTTGTTTTGTTTTGGATAAATAAATATTGAAATATCTTTTGAATTAGTTAAATGTCAGAATAAAGAGAGACAGAGCTGTCTATTTTTTATCACTTTCATCAAATTTAGGAGTACATATACACTAAGTTTATTGTTAATTAATAAGAAACTCCAGACGATTCCATTCTG